GTCACACAAAAACATAATAATAATCATTTATTGCCAGTCAGACAGTGAGTTATCTGTTTCTTTAGTAATTTTAGGTTGTTTTGTTTCCTAAATGAGGCTAGTGTATGTGACTGTGTCAGTCTATTTCACATGGCCCTGCTGCCCTGTCATAAGACCACACTAGTCAAATGATCTGAACAAAAGATGACCTCATTTCCTGTCCCACATCTCAGCTTGAGGCACTATTTGTCACAACACCAGAATCGCCTTGGACTTTCTTCTGCTGCATTGCAAATTTTTTAGCGGTCAATTCTCAAAGTGTCACAAGCACTACCCTTAAACTAAGGAAGTGGGATTGGAGCATGGTGGATGATGGTCACCCCACCGTTCGCTCCTATATATTACTTTTTGGGGTGCGCAACATTGGGTTTGAGGTGCTCGTTACACTTTCAGGAAGTTTAGTCTACCCAGAATTCATCTCTCCTTCTTTCTGTGTGCTGCCACCATTGCACCATAGCCTGTATGTACAGTAAATAGACCATGTGTGACTATGTACCTGTAGATACACCTGTCTGTCTGGGATGTCTGCTAAGTCAGGATTTGACTCTATATACCCAGCAGGAATTTGACTATATTTCCCTGAAGAAAATAACAAACGTGAGAACCATTTTAAGTGTAGAGAAGTGTACAGAGAGGGATAAATAGGCACTATGGGGAGGCTGATCCCGGGCCATTCCAGGTGGATGACTTGATTACAGGACTAAAGTGAGTATAGTCCAGCCTCATCCTGGCTCCTGAGTGCAGCCTGTGAGCTCTTAACTGGATTACAAGTCATTCACTGTAGCTATTTAAAGTATCTCTTCTTTATGTCATACAAACTACATCCTCATAATAAGTAATTACAGTGATTCAAGCTGGAGTGACCCACTGTGTTAAAGTATGGAGCTAACAATGAGCTCTAATGATCAGTGACATCACTGCATGTGCAATTAAACCAAAGCAATTAACATAAACCTCTTTTCCGCCTTACATTATTTTTCCAGTTCTCTTTTTTTATCTATAATTTGCCTTAATTGTCCTTTAATTAAACAGTTATCAATAATAAATAATGGTTTCTTTGCAAGACCCCTCCCCCTCAATTAACCATTGAAGAAGGTGAACTTAATTCATTATGGTTGTAGTTTTATGTTACTGAACTTATTGACACAGAAGGTTACTACTATAGGTCCTGGTATAGCTTTGAATCTAGGAGCAGCTTCTCCCTAGCCTGAGTGCCAGTCTGTTTATGCTCTTTTGCCAACTCAGATTGGCACAAACAGACTCAGGCTAACCTCTCCTAGGAGTGAATGTCCAGTCACTGTTTGAAACATACACACTGCCTCTGTGAACATGTGAACTGTCATCATGCTTAGCTGTGACACATGCTGCTATCGCGCCCTGCTGTTACAATGTTGTCATTGTGGGGGCAGAAACGAGGGATGCAGGAAGGGAAGAGGAGAGGGTTGTGGAATCATCCTCTAATCTGACCTCCTGTTTCCCTCCATCTCTCTCCATCTCGCTCTTCTCTCCTTCTCTCACTTTGCTCGCTCTCATTCGCTGTCCTGTGCAGTCTAGACTTGTGAGTTGGATTCCATATCACCTCAAGTCATTTAAAACGATTTTCTTATTTTTTCATTCATCCCTGAAACCTGACTTTGAACTTGGCCAAATTAGAAAAAAGTTAACCAGAACCATACGTTATAAAGACAATAAATAGGGCTCAGGAAGACATTAAAAGAGTCCTGAGAATGACCAGGTATTGTCTTGGCATGACCTATTGCTGTGGTAATGCAAACTTTGTTTTCCATTGTAATCAGAACAAACTGTGGGATACAGGGCATCCGAACTAGCCAGCATCTGCAAAGAACCACAGACCCTTAGCACCTCTCATATCTGATCTGTCTTGTTCACAAATGCTCTCATACCTGATGGATCTATGGATTTGCTGTTTGGTTTTGAAAGCGCTGGTTATCACCTTGGTCAATACCACAGGGACAGATTTGGTGTGGGTTTGATGATCAATGCTCAGCAATATATCATACAAGACATCTAGGACTTCTACATTCCCCTTTCCAGCATAAAAACCCACCTCATTTCATATTGGGAAGTTTGGCTAAGAAGCTGCTTTGTTATCAATATATCCATGTGCATGCCATGCCAGGGGGAAACATGACCAATGCTACATGTTATTCTGCTGTTGTCTGACTTGTCTGTTCTCTTTCTCTCCTGCCGTTTCCCTCTCCCTTCTTCCTCCCATGAAGCTTTCTCTCAAGCTGGTAAGCATGACCGTAACACTGCATGACCGTAACACTGCATGACCGTAACACTGCATGACCGTAACACTGCATGACCGTAGTGGCATGAACCGCATTCTAAGCGTAGCGTGCACGTCCTTCTAGTAACACAAACATGGTTGAGAATTCTGTGTGACCGTTGCTTGTGTTCAGTTCAATTTGTCCGGACTTATTTATTCATTTTGTTGTGACATGACGATGGATTTTACAGACCCTTGTTGTCTCATTTTGTTTTTGTTGTTGTGTGTGTGTTTGTGTGTGTGTGTGTGTGTGTGTCTTGTTTGTTTTGTCTTCCCCACTGTGCCTGTGTGCTCTGTGCAGATCACACTCAATTCCCACGTCCGGAATCTGATTGAGGTGATCAGAATTACTGTTATTGTTTTGTATGTCCGTCTGTCAGAACTGGGTTTCAAGTACTATTTGAAATCTTTGAAATCCTTTAACTTAAGTGACTTTTCTAATCCTTTCATTGCAACAGACAAGCTCAATCAAGCACAGCTGAAGGATTTGAAATGTTTTTAGATAGTATTTTGAACCTAGTTCTGTCTGTCAGTCTGTTAGTTCCATTCCCTTTGATCTGTCACCATAATCATTAGAATCAAAGATAGATGATTCCAATAGATAAATCATAATCATAGCTGATTCCAATAGATAAATCATAATCATAGCTGATAAAGATAGAGGGTAGATAGAATTAAAGATGAGAGATAGATGCAGCTTTTACTGAATGGTAATTTAGCAGTTCACTCACGATGCAGGGCTCTAAAGATGATGTTGTTCAGCATTAGCTGCAAGACTCAGAGGTTCTGATGTAGAAATTAATGGCACAAAAAAAGAGCTAGACTAAAACATCCAGACGATGCTGAGCCTTCCAGGAATACCAAGTATTTTCCACTGAAATGCAGAACAGATGGGAACAAAGGAAATGGGAACTTTTTGGTCTGTCAGGTACAAACTAACCTCATCTCCAGGCTCAACTGCTACAGAGAGAGAGCTGGCTGGCGGACGAGGTTAGAAAGAAACCTTTTTCAAAGCCCATCTATGTCAGTACTTATGTTCCTTGTAATGTTTTGAAGAATTATCTAGACCTCTACATTTCGAGCCCTGTGAAGAATTTGGATTGATCAATTATAATCAACTGCCCTGAAATTATTGTAGATCTCCTTAGTCTATCACAATAACATAAGCCATGATAATCATTAGTTCATAACTTTGTGTGTAGTAATAATTATTGAATGGTCAACTATGCATGTCAAATCCTTTGGGTAGAGATTAGAAATTATCATGATCTGTCAACAGTGATTAAATGAAATCAAGTAGATTTTAATGTATATCTGAGTGTGAACTTTATATTGAACAGGTAAGTTACTTGGTAAAAAAAAGCATATGTATAGCATCTTGTCTTGTGAGTGGTGTGGAGTATTTCGTTTTTACCAACATCTACAGAAATCAATAGCAAGCATGTTGTTCTTTATTCTTGTGATTAACTATTTTATATAAATAATACAAGTATTGTTTGGAGCATAATCAAGAGCATGTTGAATGAAACCTGTTTGTTGTGTTGCATGTTGTCTGGTTGGTAAGTGTTGCACAGCGGTGCAGAGAGATGGGGTAAGGAAGGTCATCGCCATGGTAGCCTAGCCTGCTGCTGTGTTTCTATTGGCTTACATACCAGTAAACTCCAGTGACCTTTGACCCCTGGCCAGTAGGATGTTGACCTTTGGTTCTGCTATGTTACAACTGAGTATTGTCTGAGCCTTAACCTATCCAGTCCAAGCACATGATCAGACAAATACCATAATATTACTGCAAGGTCAAATCTTACATCAATAATATATGAACATGTGAGGAATGCCACAGTAAATAACCATTCCAGTGGGTTACTCTAAATTGATAGTCATTCTACAATTATCCAGTTATTGAATTGTAATACATGCATTTGTAAAGAACCTGACCAAATAGCACTACCAAGTGCTGTATCTCTGAACTGCAGCATATACAATACACAAAAGGCAGGTTGTTATTTTGGAAAGTGGAGCAGGCCGAGCCGAGTAAAGAACAGAAAGAATGACTCACCATCATCAGAGATGATCGATATGTATTCTATCCAGGAATCTCCTTCATCAGGAAACATTATACCGTCTGCCCTCAAATGGCCCCACAGTCCATTTCAGAAACACTACCTCCTTTAAACAGAAGTCAGCTTCTCTCTTGACAGTTATGAATATGCACAGAGAAATGTGATTTGACTGGATATGAAGTGATACAGCCTAATATCTTTTGAGGCTTGGGACTGAATAGGTGAAAGGTGGTTGTAGGGCTTACCTTCACACAGAGAACCCCCCCCCAGAGCTCAGAGGGTTAGTGGTAGACTAGTGCTGCAGTATCTCCTTCTGGTTAACCAGCCGCCATAACTCTATCTGACACACAACCCTCAATGATGGGGAATTCATTTAATTGGCTTTACTGTAAGGGGGATACTGCACCTAAAGGATCCTAGTGTTAGATAGAGAGCCTGAACATCCGAGAGGGATATTAGAAGATGTTATTCTGTATATTCACACATTTACAGACAGGATGTACAAGGCTCCTGAAACTCACTTTGCCTCCAACTTGTCTTCCTATCTCCCCCTCTCTCGCTCCCGTTCTCTCTCTCTCTCTCTCTCTCTCTCTCTCTCTCTCTATCAGGGCTCTGGACCGGAGGACTTCAGCCACTTGCCCCCAGAGCAGAGGAGAAAGAAGCTTCAGGCCAAGATAGATGACATAAATAAGGACATCCAGAAAGAGATGGACCAGAAGTAAGTTTGTGTCTATGTCTTCAACATAAGCCTCAGCCATATTTGTTTGGAAATGATGTCCTAACTCCTCCCCAAAGACTCCCTCCCTTTAGTGTCAGCCCTGTTGTGGAAACAAAATGTCCCCAGTAAAACTGCGGTGATGATGCAAAATCCATCATATGACGCAAAATGCATCATCGTGATGTGGCAAGTGACACTTTGCTTCTTGAAAATCCTATATCTTGAAAACATGCAAAAACTTTTGGATTGTATTAACAGTGAAGTAATGAAACAAATACAAAATAGTTTTTGAGTGGATTTTTCCTTTAAAAAAGGAGTTTAAGCCTCAAGAAAGCTTCAGACCCAACCAAGGAGTTGTACATTTGTCTCTAATTTGTTTGTGTCTGATTGTTATTAACCCATCAGAGGGGGGGTCATTTTGCTATTTTATTTTGAATTTGAAGTATCCCCAAAATATTAAAAAGAAATATTTGATGAACAATTATTTTTGGCCTTACTACAAACGCATTGAATAACGGATTCACTGCATAAAACAACAGATAGACCCCCCCCCCCCCCCCCAAAAAAAAGGAAGTTTGTTCAGAAGTGTCTGTCCTATATCTGAGAGATATAAGAAATACCAGGAAATATTTGTTATTATTTTTATTTATTTTTTACATGAATTTAACCCCTTATTTTTTGGCACTAAACGCTCTAAGCCATGTCTAAGCTGGGCGGAGGGTTCTACTAAGCTATCTGGAATTGTTTTAAGAAGGTCATACCAAGGATAATTTTGCTATTGGATTTTACATTTTAAGACCACTTGAAGTATCCCCCCAAAAATATACAAAAATTATTTGATGAGAATACAAACGCATTGAATAACCGATTCACTACATGGAACAACAGATAGTCCCCCCCCCAAAAAAAATCTAAAGGAAGTTTGTTCTGAAGTGTCTGTCCTTTATCTGAGAGATATAAGGAAGATCAGGATTTTTAAATAAAAAATATATGTATTTAAACCCTTATTTTTGTCACTAAAGAGTCTCCATATACACTACCAGTCAAAAGTTTGGACACACCTACTCATTCAAGGGTTTTTCTTTATTTTTACTATTTTCTACATTGTAGAATTATAGTGAAGACATCAAAACTATGAAATAACACATATGGAATCATGTAGTAACCAAAGAAGTGTTAAACAAATCAAAATATATTTTATATTTGAGATTCTTCAAATAGCCACCCTTTGCCTTGATGACAGCTTTGCACACTCTTGGCATTCTCTCAACCAGCTGCATGAGGTAGTCACCTGGAATGCATTTCAATGAACAAGTGTGCCTTCTTAAAAGTTAATATGTGGAATTTATTTCCTTCTTAATGCATTTGAGCCAATCAGTTGTGTTGTGACAAGGTAGGGGTGGTAAACAGAAGATAGCCCTATTTGGTAAAAGACCAAGTCCATATTATGGCAAGAACAGCTCAAATAAGCAAAGAGAAACGGCAGTCCATCATTACTTTAAGACATGAAGGTCAGTCAATACAGAACATTTCAAGTACTTTGAAAGTTTCTTCAAGTGCAGTCGCAAAAACCATCAAGCGAAATGATGAAACTGGCTCTCATGAGGACCGCCACAGGAATGGAAGACCCAGAGTTACCTCTGCTGCAGAGGATAAGTTCATTAGAGTTACCAGCCTCAGAAATTGCAGCCCAAATAAATGCTTCACAGAGTTCACGTCACAGACACATCTCAACATCAACTGTTCAGAGGGGACTGTGTGAATCAGGCCTTCATGGTTGAATTGCTGCAAAGAAACCACTACTAAAGGACACCAATAATAAGAAGAGACTTGCTTGGGCCAAGAAACACGAGCAATGGACATTAGACAGGTGGAAATTTGTCCTTTGGTCTGGAGTCCAAATTTGAGATTTTTGGTTCCAACCGCTGTGTCTTTGTGAGACGCGGTGTGGGTGAACGGATGATCTCTGCATGTGTATTTCCCACCGTAAAGCATGGAGGAGGAGGTGTTATTGTGTGGGGGTGCTTTGCTGGTGACACTGTCTGTGATTTATTTAGAATTCAGGGCACACTTAACCAGCATGGCTACCACAGCATTCTGCAACGATACGCCATCCCATCTGGTTTGGGCTTAGTGGGACTATCATTTGTTTTTCAACCGGACAATGAACCAACACACCTCCAGGCTGTGTAAGGGCTATTTGACCAAGAAGGAGCGTTATGGAGTGCTGCATCAGATGACCTGGCCTCCACAATCCCCTGACCTCAACCCAATTGAGATGGTTTGGGATAAGTCGGACGGCAGAGTGAAGGAAAAGCAGCCAACAAGTGCTCAGCATATGTGGGAACTCCTTCAAGACTTTTGGAAACGCATTCCAGGTGAAGCTGGTTGAGAGAATCCCAAGAGTGTGCAAAGCTGGGTGGCTATTTGATCAAATATATTTTGATTTGTTTAACACTTTTTTGGTTACGACATGATTCCATATGTGTTATTTCATAGTTTTGATGTCTTCACTATTATTCTACAATGTAGAAAATGGTAAAAATTAAGAAAAACCCTTGAATGAGTAGGTGTGTCCAAACTTTTGACTGGTACTATATACTTCCATTACTTTTTCAGACTGGTACAGGGGGACCTTCAGATGAGTCTTGTGAGGCCTGTGGGCGTCCTAGAGCAAAACAACTGACATGTGCCTCTCAATAGAGGGGTCATAATAGTTTGTAGGCCAAACCGTTCGGACGCTACAGACGATTTTGTGACAATGACCTTAGTTAATGTCTCTTTCTCTGTGTCCCTCCATCAGAGATGCCCTAACTAAGATGAAGGGTGTGTATGAGAAGAATCCACAGATGGGAGACCCTGCCAGTGTGGACCCCCGGCTAGCAGAGATAGCAATGAACATCGAGAAACTACAGTCCGAGATGCAGAAATTCGAGGTGAGTCATCATAAACCCTCTTGACCTATCCCAGACATGAATTTATTTATAGATGCTGGACGGACTGTGCGTGTTGCTAGTATCATAGTAATGGTGTTTGGCTTTGCTAAGACAGTACATCATTATTGGACAAACAGCAGAGTACTCCTGGGTCCAACAGACTAGCTGCTCCTCTTCCTTGTTTGGAGAATATGCACTGCCTTGGCAGCCCACTGTGTCTTCTGGTTCTGTAAGAGAGAGGAGCCTTAGAACAAGGCCATATAACTCTGGACTGAACTACACTAGCAGATCTCATCTCACAACCCTAACGTATGTGTGTGTATGTCTGTGTGTCCCTACCAGGGATGGCTGGCGGAGGTGGAGGGGAGGTTACCGTGGAAGAGTGACCCTTCCAGGAGACAGAGTGGTCTGTACGAGACACAGAACAGCAACAGCACCACGGTCGCCAACAACTGTGCACAGGACAGAGAGAGGTACAGTACACACAACACACACTCCATTAATCAACACATCTTTCTAGTTTATGTTGTGAGGTTGCTATAGTTACTGTGTGTGTGTGTGTGTGTGTCGGTCCTTGAGCAGCCCGGATGGCAGTTACACAGAGGAGCAGAGTTCAGAGACTCAGGTTAAGGTGGCCATAGCCAACACTCCAGAGTTTGATGATGAGTTTGACGATGGGGATGAGGAGACACTGCCCACCATCGGCACCTGTAAAGCCATCTACCCATTTGAAGGTAATACACCTTTAACAGGTAATACACCAATCAGAGACAACAACACAGGTAATGTGGGCTGGCACATCTATTTCACTATTTGAGAAAAATCCAACAATAAGACTTTTCCACCATTTTTTTACACTTTCTCCCTCCTCCATTTCTCTCTTCCTCCCCCTCTCCCTTCCTCCTTCTGTTCCTCCTCCCTCTCTCTCTCTCTCCCTCAGGTCATAATGAGGGGACTATCTCAGTGACAGAAGGAGAGCTTCTGTATGTAATAGAGCAGGATAAAGGTGACGGCTGGACGAGGGTCCGCAGGAACGAAGAGGAAGAAGGCTACGTTCCCACGTCCTACGTCGAGGTGTTTTTAGAAACAAACGCCAAAGGTGCTATGACATACATTTAACTGAAGGGGTTTTCTTTTGGGATGGGATGAGAGAAGGCTTTGGTGAGAGAAGATGGGAGGAGTGAGGGTGATGGTAGATGGTTACTGGTTGGTCAGACCAGAGTAGACTCCTCCCACTCTCTCCCTCTCTGAAAGATGGACCAATCAGAATCTCCATCTGGCTCTGACAGGGTTCTGTAGAGAGGTGTCCATACCCATCCTTTCTATCACTTCTTCAAAACATTGAAGAAAACATACAGAAACCACATAGCTGAGACCGGCCCCATGCACTGAGGTGGTGTTGTAGTTCAAGTTATCCCTTGATGCTGATTTTGGGTCAGTTTTGAATTTTCCCCTAGAAAGGTGAAGGTTAGGTTTGGGGAAGATACTCCTAGATCTGTTCCTAGGGGAAACTTCACCCCGGAGCGTTGTTTTCCCACTGGTTCTGAGAGAATCCTCTCTTATTTGCTTTAGGGTCACCTAGTGGCCAGCCGGGAGCACTGTCATTACCTCTCCAGTCAACTCAATGGGAATCAGACTAGTTGTAATGATGATTTCAATGAGTGTTGCTGTCTTTTTGTTCTTGATATGGATGGAGCCATATTTCCCCAACATTCTGAATCTGCCACCATTTTTTTCTCCCCGGACACATGTAATCAACTGACCTCAAAGGTATATTTTATCATAGCCACTGGCTTCAAAGGTAGACTAGAGTTGAGGTCAGGATGAAAACAAAATGGCAAATGTAAGTTTGTGTGTGTACCTGTGTTTGACTGACGTAAGTTGTTGATGGACTGTATCAGCTTCCCACACAGAGGTGATATTTGAAGAGAACTAATATAGGCTCTCAAATAAACTTTTTTTTGGGGGGGGGTAAAACCACAGGATAGTAAAAAAAATAAAAATAATCAACACCAGTTGCTTGCTGTCCCCAGTAGTAAAGCATGCAAGATTGTACAATGTAGAAATATGCAAATGAGAAGTTAGTGATTCTGCATAATGACTACATGCTGTACGTCATTGGGCTTTTAGCGCTCACTCATGACAAATATATTGCTTTGAATAACAACCCCTCTCCCTTAGATTGTCTCACTCCTGTACAGTCAAGATGCACCAATCACATACTAAAAGGTCCAAGAAAGAGGCTACTTTATAAAAAAAATATATATATAATAATGTTTTGGACTCTTCTGGGCCTTTCTTTTCATGCAGGAATACAGGATTGAGAATGAGCTGTACCACCATGTTCCCTCTCTCGGTGAGAACATTGTGAGAACGGACTGTTGTGGGGCTGATTGGAACGTTGGTGCTTGGTTGGTTGCCAGCTCATGCATGGGTTTTGAGTAGCACCCCTGTGCAGATGAGTCCATTTGAGAAGCTTGATCTGTGTTAAAGTATGGTGTTGCCAAACTGTTTTATGCCTCTAAAATATCCAGGCATTTATCTTTTGAAGATTACTGAATTGTGCAAACATAGGCCCAAAAGGTCTTTTGGATGAGACTCCAACTTTGTCAAATGTCAAAAAGCTCATCAAATATGCCTTCACAACCCTTTCTCCTCAAGCGGTAAAGTAATCCCGTTTCTGTCAGTGCTAATAACACAACATTATCCCCCCAAACCGGGGTCCAAATTAAATGTGAGGCATGTTCAGTTTGTAGTCATTTTATGTTTTACATAACATGTTTTGGTGCATGTTTGACATTGTTACAAGCGTAAGTGTCTCTTGGTTTTTGGAAATGATAGATTCACACACAAGACTGACATTTAGAAACAGTAGCCGAATCAAAAGATTCGATTTTGAAGGTACAGCAACTGATATTAAAGCCAGAGAGAAGGAGCTTCATGGGTTCTCTGGATTAGATAGTTATCTGACTACAGAACAATATTATTTCCTTCAAAGACGAATGCAAAGAATAGTTGGCATTTTCCAACTCTCACTTAGTATGTGAACTACATTTTCTTTCCCTGAGATTCTCTAACGTGTTATTTAGTTATTATTTTTATTTTTTATTGCAGATTCCTAAAAGTGTGAGAGGCTGGCTCAGGAATAGCAGGGCAAGCAGCCTCGGAGACAGAGCGACCACGTTCACGTTCCTTTACGGTCAGAAAGTCAAAAAGAGAGAGCGACATGACCGAGGCAAAGACAGGAGACCTATGATGCATCTCAATTTCCAACCCGATACATTTGTAGAGTTCTCTCCTTCTGCACCGGTCTCTGACCAGAAGCAACAATAAGAGAAAAACAAACCAAATTGAGAGCCCGTAAATCTTTTATTTTTTGATAGGTTATTACCCATTTATCATTTAGCTTCTTTTGTCTTTGCAAAGCTTTGCTTCTCGATGTACTAACTCAGCTTCCGCTATGCGGCTTTACCATGGCAGCTGTTGGCTCGCTCACCTCGAATGCCCCCCACGCCCCGAGTCCCAACCCGCTCCCCTGCCACTCCTCCCCAACCCCCACTCCTAAAGCACGGCAGGGTGTGGTCAGAGACCGGGCCGGGACCAGCTTCGAAGCAACACAATCTGCCCCCGACTACACCCCACACACACCATCCCACCAGACAGGAGAGCAGGACAGGAAGCCAACCATGTCCCTCTCCAGTCCGCACTCCCATCCAAATCAATCAGGTGGATGCAGTTGCAGAATCTTTCACACACTCATTGACTCAGAGCCATCATCGTCCAGATCCAGCATCACATGGAGTTTCCATGGAAACAACATATTCATTCCACTCTCTGACTCCATATTTTGCAGGTTTCAAACGGACTGAAAAACAGAACATGGGCCGATTGGTCATCTGTATGAGTGAGGTTCATTTATAATGTAAATCCCCCATACACCCTCCATCCCTGACTGGGAGTTCCAGGACCGAGAGAGGTTGGGGACAGGTTCACTTTACTTCATTACTTCACTCACCTGCACTCTCTCTCTCTCCCTACCATACCATCATGTGTTGTTACTGGCATCCCATCTGTTCCTCTCTGGCCACACCCCTCCCCTCCACAGACCCATCCCCCGCAGGTGTCAGCCGCTGGTCATTGACTGTGTTGAGCGCCATGTCACAGCTTAGGGTGGGGCATCTCTCAGGCGGTGCGTGCGGTGTGCATGCTTGCCCTGTCTCCTCCTTGGCTCGCCCCCTCCCGCTTGGCTCAGGGGGCTGGCTTATGCCCCTGTCGCCTGGCCTTTTTTGTTTCAGTTAACCCCCATGGCCTGTTACACTTCTTAACCAGTTAGTTTATTTGTCACCTTTTGGGTTCTGTGCCTGTGGATCATCTACTAGCTGTTCCTTATTTTGTTGCTGTTTGACTGTTCGTCGTCTCTGAAAGCATGTTCACCTACCTGTGTTTATAACAGTGAGTGTATCCCTCAGAGTAACTCCTCCAGCTCAAATCTCATTACCGGAAGAGAAGAAAATGTGGGATTCCAAAACGTCTGTTTCTGAATGATATCATGCATACAGTAAAACATTTCATTTGTCCATTTGTTATAATATATGTATGTATGTAATGTTGTTGGCTGACATTGTACGTGTTTGAAAAGTGTGTTGAAGGCAAGCGGTCGTTAGCTTCCACTAGCCTCATCCTGTGGATACATGCTGCGGTGTTTCACGTCTCCACTGTATATCCAACAGACAGACAGTGTCCCCCGGAAGAGAACTTGAAGATGATTTTAAAATGTTCATGTAATTTGCATGGGCCACTTACTACTGAATGTGGAAGTATTGTATACTGTGATCCACACACCTTCTCCACAATGATGTGACTGAATATGAAACAAGACAGACTTCCTATTGGGCCTTAACTGGGTTGATCCTAGCTACCACTTAATCTAAAAACAAGTTCAAGTTTTATTGTCACATGCACAAGTACAGTGAAATGCTTAACTTGCATGCTCTACCCAACAGTGCAGTAATCAGGGGGAGTAAGATACCATTCTATTATCTGTGGTATGTTGAATAGGTCGAGACATCTCGTTTTTTTATAAAGGTGGTGAAGGTAAATTACTCACAATGTCTACAGAGATGATGATGATGTCCACTGTTTCCCTTTCTTGAATGCACATAACATTTTAATTTTGTAATGATTTTTTAACAGTGTTCGGTCGAAGAGATTGGAGCTTTTTAATTTGTAGCTAGTTTCTAGCTAGAAAACTGTTGCACCTGAATTACAAACCACTTGATGATGAAACCAGTTGTTTGATCTGCCTGAAGTCACTGAAGATAAAGTAATGAAAAACACAAATATTGTTTTGTGTAATGAAGCAATTAGTGATGTCATTAGCCTCTGGTGTGTCCCAAATGGCACCCTATTCCCTATATAGTGCACTACTTTTGATCAGGCTCTGGTCAAAATTTCACTATGTAGGGAATAGGGTGCCATTTGGGACTCAGCCTTAGGAGTGTTTTGAAACTTTTTTTTATTCCAGTATTATTACTCAAGCAACATTTCAAAGAGCAGCAACTGAAATTGTATCAATGCAAACCATGTATATTATCACCAGAACCACAAATGGACAGTGATCCATCACCATGTGGAGTCCCAGTTACTTGACATAATATAAAAGACAAGCAGCGCAAATCTGTATGTTTTGTGGCCGAGAACCAGATCAGGTCAAAGTTTCATTTTGCTATTCCCATCCGCCCAGCTCTTATTTTGACTAGTATAGATATTGACTTGGCAGTTGTTTTGTTTGTTTGTGAGAAGTGAGAAGGCAAAACAGATTTTCATGCAGACCATCAGAAGGTGCATCTCTGTACTGACAGACAGACAGACAGACAGACAGAGACACAGACATACCCACTCAGAAGAGAGCCAGTATAGAGGAGAATCTGCCTAACTCTCGACTGAGACCAACCCAGACCTCCATCCAGGCCTCAGTGCACCGTGCCACAGCGCACCTGTACAGAAGAAAATGGCTTGTTGAAATTAGAGAGAATATATATAAATAAATAAATATGGATTAAACTAAGACAAAAAAAGGAAATAAAAAGTATATTTTCAAGGTTAACTATTAAAGGCCT